ACTTGAAAAGAGCAGGAATATAAATTGAAGTAGAATAATGATGGACTATTATGTGACACCTTCGAAGTGAAGACAGGAGTAAAACAGGGCTGTCTACTATCACCCATGATATTCCTGATTGTGGTGGACTGGATCATGCAACAAACTGTGAGGAGCGAGAAGAGGGGGATACGCTGGCTGGACTTGGGAAAAGATCCTAGAAGATTTGGATTTCGCCGATGATGACTTGTGTCTAGTGTCACACAAACTTGAAGATCCACAGGCGAAAACTAACAATTTAACAGAAGAGGTAGGGCAGAGCAGAGCAGCGAAGACGGGACTTCAAGTGAATGTAGAAAAGACAGAGGTGATGAAGATACCCAAGCAGTACCTCCTTCACCTATTGTAGGCAGCACTATTTCAACTACAGGTGGCTGCATAGACGAGGATATCAAAGCCAGGATCGGAAAAGCAAAATAGGCTTTCACTAACCTGAAATCAGTGTGGAGATCTGCACTCAGCATGAAGAACAAAATCCGAGTTTTCAACACCAATTCAGTGAAGTCAGTGCTTCTGTGTAATGGTTCTGAGACTTGGCGCGTTACGAAAGGGATTTCCAACAACGGTTGCCACCTACGCTGGCTCGTTACTGAAGATCAGATGGCTAGAGACAATAACCAACAAGGAACTCTAGCTGAATGGCAACGAACCAACCGAGAACCTATCGCTCAACAAATATGCAGAAGGAAGTGGAGATAGATTGGTCATACACTGAGAAGATTATTCGGGGACGTCACGTGCCAGGCCCTCGAGTGGAAACCGCATGGGAAACGGCGAGTTGTGCTTCCGAGGTGAGGATGACATGGGGGAGATGGTATGAGGAAGAAATGAGAGCTTGTTGGCTGTCATGGAGCCAGGTTGAAACGATTGCAGAGAAGAGAGTGGAATGGAGAGCTACTACTGAAGCCCTGTGTTCCACTAGGAACCCAAGCGACAAATAAATTATATTGCATCATTTTTATAACATTACCTTAAAACATAGAATGGTAAAAAATAAGTCAATACCATAAGGAAACTTTTTCGTGCTACATTCCATTGGAAACCATTTGGTTTAGCAAATGAAACAGACAGAAATCTGTAACGTATAATAAAAAAAACAAAGTAGAAAAAGAAGTCAATGCAAAGTTAAGAATGTATGACAAAGTTTTCCAATTATGTAAATTACGCAATTGAAGAAATAATAACAGTAACGCAAGTACGAATAATAACGACAATGCAAATAGAAAGGAGTTCACAGCCTTCATTGTATTACCACATAAGAAAGGTACATTAGGCACTTTATGTAAGAACCTCAACAAAGCTGGAATTAGCGTGACATTTAAACCTATCTACAAACTCACTCAGAGATGATCTTTGTCAGCTGGCTTAACGATCCGATAGAACCAATTAGGCGAGATAATCTAATTTACCAAATTCCATGTAATGATTGTGAGGTCAAGTACATAGGTCAGCATAGCTGGTCGGAGTCAGTTAGAATAGCCGAACATAGGAGTTTAGCCAAATACAGAATAACAGCCGAATAAGATCAATAATCTACAAAACCACCCAGTCATATATTAACACACAACCATAGAATAGAATGGGTGAGATAGAACCCCTGTATTTAAGTCCAATATAATTAGGTGGAGAGACAAGAATTGATTACTGAATCTTTGTTCATCGAACACATGTATTAGGATTTGAGTGTTTGTGGGGATTTTGAGGTATTTCAAGTTGGTATTCATCATGGACTGAAGTCAGTTGGAGGAACACTGGGAACCTTGGGACACTAGACAGCTATCTCTTCCTAGTATGGGACTCTTTAGCAGTGCACACTCATCACCCCACCCCACCAGGGATGAAACCTGCAACCTTCAGGTTCCATGGCCAACACTTTAACATTGAGCAATAGGATCGGAATCCAATGCTCCGTATTTCCAACTTCTGTAATTCCTGAGGTTCCAATGAGAAGTCATGACAAGTGGGGCAAACCTGGTGGTTGTGAGGAAAAATACTCAGAGGTGAGATTAGATGATGGTCATGCTATATCATGAACTAACACAAGTAGGAAGTATGGACCATTGAATTCCAACCCATTGGCTCAATGGTAACTAGTTAGCCATGGGATCCGAATATCCTGGTTTCAACCCTTGGCGGGGTGGGGCGATATGATAGGTGCGCACTGCTGAGGAGTCCCATATAAGATGAAACAGCTATCCATTGCTCTCAGGTTTCCAATGTTCCTCCAATTGATGTCAATCCATGATGAATACCAAGCTAAGACATGTAATAGGAATGACGCAATGCCTATACCAGAGATATGAAAAAGTATACTACCAATCGAAACAAAGAATATGAGGTGGATGATAGGAGTATAAAAATCAGATACCGAAAGTAGTGTGACTACATCATTGATATGATTATGAGGAATAATAGTTTATACTGGAAACGTCGTCATCAAGTAAATAATAATGTGTCACTGTGTGTTGTAAATCAAATAGACACATCTAATATGGAATTAAATTCTACTACTGTGCACCTATATTAATGCAAATGAAGATAGTTGAAAAATGATAGGGGTAATAAAATGTATGAAGGAAATGAGGCTATAAGATAAGAACTAAAATGTATAAATACACTAAATGAGACTCAATCAAGCATTTGAAATTAAAGTTACTATGCAGTACTATGAGATTAAATAAACTATAACATAACAGTATGGGTAGCTAAAGTTTATGAAAGCGAAAAGATAAACTGATTATATCTTCTTTTAGAATACACTAATCAGGTTTAGGATACATTATGCTGATGGTTTCAATAGACTTTAAGCAATTTGACCCACTTGTCTTCTTTATTATCAGGTATAGTGTTAAGATTCCTCCGAAATGATGTCATATATCAGTTAGGCTGTTGAAGTGTTGCTTCCTTCGAATCCCTAATACTTCAAAACATCTTAATTCAATCGAATATAGACTGTTCTTTCTCTTCTTTTTTTTATACCTGCGTTTAGCAGCTCCATATAAATTGATAGATGTATTTGGAGATAAAGTAAGATAGGTTCATAGCAAAATTCCAAATATAAGTTCCATCGGGTTATTGATTTCAGATGGCTATTAGTTTGTTGATATTTATCAATAAAAAAAAAACACAACTCATTCTCCATTCTATAAAATAATACTTTCACTGATGCTGTGTTACACATAATTCTACAGAGGTATAGGCCATTCCATGTACGCTTTCAATTAGTAGACCTTTGAACTTCCTTGTCTGTTTTACAATTTATGGCATTTATGTGAAGCCTACACTTGTCATTCTTTTTGCCTTCCATAGTCAGCTTAGTATTTACATAAGTCTCAATGAAGAATCTTAGTAAGTGAAAGGAATAGTGTAAATAAGTCTACAAGAAGAGTATTTTTCAAACATCATGATTGTTCACTACAAAGTAATCAGTTTCATGTTGTCTAGTCTTGAGTGTTAACTTGATTCTATTGATCATTTTATGTGACCTTCAAGTTAGTAGATCCATCATCTTTATCCACTTGAAGGTATTTGTTAACACTCATCAGATGGTAGTATCTGCAACCTTGAGGAAACTGATATCACTTGTAAGATTCGGACCAGGATCATCAGTACACAAATTAGACACATTACAACTGAGCTAATCAAACCGTGGCTGATCTTCTAGTGAAGTATCACTTTGATTATATATTTTAGTTTTGTATGGTGTCTACCAATATGGCATCCAGTTGGTTCTCCATCATTACTCCTTTCATTTAAATTTAAGAATTCACTATTGAAGTGAAATTTAACCTCTTGTACAGATTTCATGGACTTTATGGATATACCTGCCTCCTAGTGTGTGATCTTGTTCTCACGGAGACTCGAACCTGAGACCGATGGTATCAAACTCCAGAAACCTTTCCGTTAGGTCATCGAGTCAAGCGGCCTATTCCATATGTGACAAGCACTAACATACAGTTTTGTATAAATTAAAATATCTAGTGTAAAGTGTTCAAACTAAGGAAATAATTATGAAGACGAATTTAACTGAACCTTTTTAAAAGGTAGCAGAAACTTGTGTACTCTAAGACTACCCAGCAGTAATGTTCTTATGTAAGCGAATACAACTGGAGAATTCCTGATGGAAATCTAACAAGTCTACTTGCCATATACCCTTTATTGTGCATAGCTTTTACCTGGTTTCTTGCCCATGACCTTAAAGTAACCCACATGGCTGTTTTCACGTTGTTACTAGTTTTTCTACACTTTGCTATGAAGGCTGAACCCTCATTGGTTGTTAACTATTTGTACCTATATGTGGATTTAGTGTTATCAAGGTCATTTAGAAATGTGTATATTCAGCATCGCTGTCAACAGCATTGACTGTTACTGAGACAATAAACAGCTCTGCGTCCACTGTCCGTCTTCTCTTCTTGTTTTCGTGTGTCGGTGGTAATGTTATTCTTGTGGAGGTGGTTCCAGTTCTGATTTGCGTTAGAGTCGATTCGTTTACGCTTTAGGTTCGCATCGTTCGTAGACTGATGATCATCATCATCATCTGAAACAATGTCCACATAAGTTTTTAAATGTAGTTACGTTCATCCTTTGAACAGTAACCCCCTTGGTGATACAGACAAATGAGCTGGAGTGAGTTGGAATTAATTTCGTAGGGATAAATGTCATTCATGAGGAAGCAGTATGTATGGAAATTTTCTGGCCGAATACTTAACGTTGATGACATCATTGACAGATTCTAGAATCTTGGTCAACTGTATTTCACTTTATATGATAAATTCATACTCATGACGGAATTCTGTGAAAAATCCCCCCCACTGACTTTATGTTAGTATGCTTAAATGTAGATGAAGAAACGTTCACCTAGAGACAGAAGTAATAAATGTAGAACTCAATTCATAAACTCCTTAGTTACTAAATGTTTCCAAGTATTTGCCCAAAACTGTTTTTCTTTCAGAAGCAGATATTTATCGTTTGTTTTCTTCTATAGACATCTCTGGTAAGGCGAATATCATACAAACAGCTTTCTGATGATGTAGCTAAAATACCAAATAAATATGGTATAAACTGGTTAAACACTGTACACTTCTTTTATTTCAATTCATTACTTCATGCATGGATACTTTTACCTCATGTAATCAGAGAGTCTTTTTTATAAGCCAATATTTATAATGGGTGATGATTGAAGGTGAAATGAAAATTTGGATGGCGGCCAGATTGGAACCAGCAATTACCGGGTTTCCGACCTGATGCTCTATGAGGTCTGACTCCTGACTACATCATAATTTCCCTCCACTCACTATGGGTGTTGCCGAAATACCATGTGAATTCGTGACGCATTTCTACCACTTGATCGTATCCACATTGGATGCCTAATCAGGACTTCTCATCGCAATCGAAATCTAACTAAATTATAGACAAGAAGGAGAATCGTATTGATTATCATTTTGGCTATCTGCGATGGTCGTAGTTTGGCAGACTAGTATTTATACTGGGGAGTGACTGAAGGCGAAATAGAAATTTGGACCGCAGCTGGATTCGAACCAGTATCAATACTAATTTCTGTCATGGTTATCTCAGATAGTCAAAATGATAAAAGAAAAGCCAACATTTGTTCACTTGTGGTTTACCACATTCATCAGTAAATCAAAATACTTTTCTAGTTTCCATGAACAAGACTAGTTTGATCTCAAAAGCCCTTTATAACTATCACACATTGATTCTATCATTTTCAGCAGTATCTATCCTTCCACTAAAAGCTTTCACCAATACTGTTCAAGGTAAATTTATGAAGAATATTGTTTATTGATAATTGTAATTTCCCTTTTCTATACTGGGTCGAATCGCTCAATCGCTGTTAACAGATGGACTAGTATCCAGATGCCTTAACACTGCCTGAATATTCATTATTTAATAGTTTACTTGTTAACTAGAAGTGGAATGTAGGACGTGCATTTCGTCCTATTTTGCACTCGCCAGCTGGATCTACGCTCACCTCAGTGAGTGGTATCGTGGGAAATACTTTGGCTTTTGAAGCGATGAATACTGAGTTCGATTCTTAGTGGGGAAAACACCACTTATTGGAGTGCAAGTATATGCAACTAATCGCTTAGTCCCAAGTAGAATGAAACGCATACCCTAGACCTTAATGCTAACCACCAAGTAAACTACAGAAGAGAAAAACACCCTTTTTTTCTTATATATCCCTAGCTGGAAATAATAATAATCACTTCTCAGTAAGTTCACTATCAGAACAATATTTTCAAACAAAATAATTACTGTTAATACCACTACTAAAGGAAATAATGTTGAGCAATCATCTGGTGTTGGGTTAAGTTCCAATCTAAAATGGAGGATGTACAGAATATAGAAAGTAAGTTTGCTGGCTACGGTTCATTCAACCAATACAAGAGCCAACTATATTTAAGCTAAGCATACGAAGAGTGAAAATATGATGAATTTTTGCAAAACGAAAAGTTCATTTTCATCGAACTTAACATTTTCCCTTTGTTTTGTTATCTACTCAGGAAACAGCTATCTAAAAACATTTTAAAACTATGCAAGAGTACACGGCACGTTTAGAAGACTTGGTTACATGATTAAAACAAGTTGAAAGCAAAGAATTTTGCCTATATATTCAGTGAAAAAGTTTCATATCCCAAGGCTCAAGCAGGCCGCTATAAAAGATCAATAATCCAATCAACCACTTCCTCTCAAACCAGCTAATTAAGAAATAAGCTACCTGTCTCCTTTAACTTTACTAAGTGACAGGAGTACTAGAATCACCAGAGACGCATAAATCGCTAATTGTAATATAATTTTTGCTTACATATTTACCAACTTTAGTAAAACAAAGCTAGTCAACCGCAAATTGTCAAGATAAAATAGTATTTCCTACTATTCTTTTTTGTAAATCTGGATTAAAAATGATTAGAAAACATGATCAGAAAAAACCTCTACAAACCTCTAGATACAATTAATCTAGCGCTCAATGGTGACTAGCTTCGAGAGATGATTCTCAAACTTCCAATGAGAAGTAGTGACCAGTGGCGTTAACAAAGTCAAACATGGGCAGAGTTAGTCAGTGACGACATTGGATGCTATTCATGGTATACCATGAACCGATGGAAGTGGGAAATGTGGACGACTGGATTCGGATCCAGTGGCTCAGTGGTAATGTGGTGGTCAGGGAACCTAAAGGTCTTGGGTTCGATTCCCGGGGGTGGTGCGGGGTGATGGGTGGGCACTGCTGGGGAGTCCCATACTAGGACGAAACAGGTTTGCAGTGCTCCCAATGTTTCTCCAACTGACTTAAGTCCATGATGAGTTCCAACTAAAAAGGAAGGATCAATTGATTTATGTCAATAGTTTAGTCAGTTTCTTATCATATATAAGGTGGATAAATACCAGATATAATTGGGCCCACAGTAAAGTGTTGACTGGAGGTGAGACAAATTTTTCTATGTACATTCAGTACCTCACAAACAAACCCTTAAAATATTGCATCCTGCTTACTTGTATACGGCGAATTTCGCTGTTATTCTTGATAAAATCTATCCACACTGAGATCTGAACACATGATTCAACTTGTCAGCCATGGTGTTTACTAATCAGACCATTAATGACGTTGGTATGCGCCGGAAATTGCCCGAGAATCAATCTCTTAGATTTGACTTACAGAAATTCTGAGAATACTTAATGAAAAATAATATAGTGGAACTAACCAAGACAGCTGTGGTTGGCAAACTCGTCTTACAGATATAGGGAGATGGTGGACGGTAAAATGAAAGAATGAATGAACGCAACATTAGAAGTAGTGGACACTGATTTAACGGTTATACACACGCACAGTTAATCTGATAGTATACACATTGCAAAATGATCGGTTGAATTCCATCAGGATATAGAAACAGTTAACATGAAGTTGACTATCCTCCAATGACTAATCATTGTACCTTATCCAGTCCTACAGGAGGTTACTTTCGGCCTGAATAGCCCTGTGGTAACATCTCTGACTTCAGCACTGAGTGACGCGTGCTCGAATCTCAGGTGGGATATCAGTACCATAGAGGTTGCAGATATACAATACCGAGGAAGGCCTAGGTGCAGCAGGGCTGTCTGCCGATTCCCTCCATATAACTATAATCTGATAGTAGTTATCTCACATTGTATAGAAACTTTTTTTGATCCTGTTTTATTTTTGACCATACAGAGGTAAAGAATATAGCTTGACAGTGATATTTTAAGGAGTCGTAATAAAAGTTGTATTTTTGACTTCCTTACTTGAGGAAGTGACTTCATATTATGATGTTCTGTATTGAATATATTTAGAGGTAGTTAGTGAAAAAGCTGTTCAACTTGGCTTCTTGCTTGTTGGCATTTATTCTATATATCAGGTATGCTCTTGCTAAAAGCTACAGGATTTAGTGCTAAGGTCTAAGATTTCAACACTAAAATGTTTTAAAACCAACGAAATCAACTTGATAATAAATGCTGAATATAATACACGTTTGGCCTTGAAAAGAAGAATTTAACGACACATCTATAAAGAGGCTGGTTGTGAGTTGAAAACAAAAGCACAGTTGTTGTGAAAATTATAAGAGTTTAAACCACAATTAAATTCAAAAGAAACTGTAGACTAAGATTCAGACGTTGTCATTTTAGAGACTTCAATGTCAAACAGAAAACTGAGAACAAAATACTACCGTTAACAAAATAATAAACTGGAATAAAGAGTAATATTGCTTTATGATAAATTGCATAAGATTATTTCCAGGTGGGTTTATTCAGCTTGTCTGAAATGGAGATAAAAATATGACTAAGTGGGAAACTGGATTACTGAAGATTTAGAGTCCGAACAAATAAAGTTATAGCATAACCGTTCATATTATCGAAGCACATCGTTTCATTGTATCGACATATACACCTAATTTTGGGTACACAATATAACTGATTTACTTGTTTATGGCTAGTAGTGAAACCTAGGACAAGAGTTTCGTCCTGTCTCGGACTCGTCACCCTGGATGTACATGCACCCCAGTGAGTGATATTGTTCTCACTGATACTCGAACCTCGTACCCATCGCTTCAAATCCCAAAGAGTAATCCACCTGGTCAGTGAGGTACGATAACCACCTGTTGTACAAAGGGTATTATTTATCACATAGAATTACAAGCATATCAACAAATAGTAGCAAAATATAATTGCTTATACTGCTTCTCATAACTTCTGTCTTGTTACAGTTATTAATAAAACTTCAGTTTAGTACCCATAGAACGAAAAATCTGTTGGTTGAAATACCATCATGACTTAGATCTTCTTCCTGTTTCATTTTTCACACGTATGCACTGATATACGTTAACCGAAACAGCTAGAGAAGCTTCATGGAGAAAACTGATGTAAAATAAACTACTACTTCAAATACCATACTGATGGGTAAAACATTGCTCTGTTCCATATGTAGTCATGTAACGATAATGCCAAATGTTTACACAGTCAGCTAAAATATTTTGTTTACATTTAGGATAACAGATACAGTTGTGAAAATCATCTCATGCCAAGATCTCAAGATTCCGTTATTCCAGTGTGATTATTATTACTATTATTATTTGTCCCTTGGGTTCCTAGTGGAACATAGGACTTCAGTAATACCTCTCCATTCCACTCTCTTCTCTGCAATCTTTTCAATCTCTCTCCACGACAGCCCACAACCTCTCATTTCTTCCTCACACCATCTCCTCCATCTCGCCCTCACCTCGGAAGCCCGACTCATCGTTTCCCATCTGGGTTCCACTCGAGGGCCTGTCCTGACGCGTGATGTCCCCAGTCGGCCTTCTCAGTGTATGTTCAATCCATCTCCACTTCTTCACTTCTGCATATTTGTTGAGTGATAGGTTCTTGGCTGGTTCGTCACCAGCCAGCCAGAGTTTCTTGTTGCTTATTCTGATTATTCTGGCAATCCATCTGAGTTTGAGTAACGAGCCAGCGTAGGCGGCAGTTGTTGATGAATGTCTGTAGTTTGTTGGAAATCCCTTTCGTAACGTGCCAATTCTCTGAGCCATATAGGAGCACTGATTTGACGTTGGTGTTAAAAATCCGGATCTTGATCCACATGCTGAGTGTTGGAGATCTCCAGACTGGTTTCAGGTTAATGAACGCCTGTCTTGCTTTTCTGATTCTGACTTTGACATCCTCGTCTGTGCCACCGCCGCCTGTAGTTGAAACAGTGCTGCCTAGATAGGTGAAGGAGGTTACTTCCTTCAAGTTTCTCCCGTTGATGGTGACTGGAGTTTGTTGTTGTTGGAGTTGTTGGTGCGGTATCTTCATCACCTTGACTTCTCTGTATTCACTTAAAGTCCCGCCTTCGCTGCCCTGCCTCGCCTCTTCTGTCAACTTGTTAGTTTTCGACTGTAGATCTTCAAGTTTGTGTGGCATTAGACACAAGTCATCGGTGGCGAAATCCAACTCTTCTAGGATATTTTCTCAAGTCCAGCCAGTGTATCCCCGTCTTCTCGCTGCTCACTGTTTGTTGCATTCCAGTGTGATAGACGCCAGAATGTAATGGATATATGACTGCAGTTACTTAATTCATTTGTGAACTGCAAAGTGATCAAGTGTAATCTCAAAAGAAATAGAACTGTAAGTAAAGCGAATAAAAAAACTCATACTGCTTGATGAAATAGATGCTGGTTTCCCCCTGCCGTTTAAAATCGACCATCATACAACGTTCATTTGCAATGAATGACAATAGTTTACATCTTGTTGAACTCTTCATAAACCCTTGAAAATCATTCATCGAAAATTCTGACGATCGTGCATCATAAAATCCGATAGATTGTCTTCATCCATCAGGATAGACAGGAGAACATTCACAAGTAAAGTTACATGGAATTCAGCTGAATTGAATACAACTGAAATTCCTCCTTAGAAGAACGTCTATGTAGCTGGGAATATATAACATCAAATATATTATTAGCATATGATTATTATTTCGACTATCTGAGATAGTTGTGGTTTGGTGGATTAGTATTTATACCGATGGATGATTGAAGGTGATCACCAGGTTACCGGCTCCATGCTCTACCAACTGACCTACGAGGTTCGACTACTGACCACATTTTTATTCCCCTTCAACAACCAAGACAGATTTCGCCCAACCATCATGTGAATTCGTGACGCCTTACTATTGCTTGATTATATTCATACTGGCTACCTAGTCATGACTTCTCATCTCAATCCAAATGTAAGTGAATTCGAGAGGAGGTGGGGTATTATATTGATTATCATTTTGACTGTCTGAGTGAGATAGCAATGGTGTTGCAAACTAGTATTGGTACTGGGTGATGATTGAAGGTGTAATGAAAACTTGGACGACGGTATTTGATTAATCTGTTGCACACATCTGAAATAAGTGAAACATTCGAAAATATTTCACTGCTTTATGAAGTTGTTGATGATGTCACCACAAGTCAGGTGGTGAAACTTTCACCATAAAATGACAAAGCTTAGAGAACACCGAACCACTAGCATTTTCATCTTGAGCTGCAAATCTTTTCCATCATTTCAAAGTGGAATTCAGTCGACTGGTTTGACTTTAAAGGTCACCCAACCAACTGATAAAACAACCAATCATATTTCCCTATTCGATGACAAATTGGCTTCCTGGCCAAAATACCGCAACTTGATTGGTTATTTTGTCAGTTGTTAGAGCGGCGCCTTTAAAGTCACCTGTTTACTGGATATCACAGTGTGACAAATTTGAGATGGGAGCAGTGATATTTCTAAGTCAATAGGTGACTGATTACACTAATGACAAGTTAGATTTTGTTTTTATTGCAACATATATACTTACCGTCCATGTAGGATCCCGTTTGTGAGAGAACAGGTAATCAATAAACATACCACATTTAGCTGGACTGTTCAGTACTGATGTAGCACTGTTGAATTCTGATGATAAGTAGGCAAGATCATTTGCGTTGCTAAGCTACAAAAAAGAAAATCATAGGAAGAAGAAAATTTTTATATATATTTATAACAGACATTTGTGCAACTACAAGCAAAATAAAATTCTAGTTAGCAGTCAAGTCTCGAAGCTCAGTAGGTAGAACACTACACCCGGAGACTTAGTGGTCTCCAGATGGAATCCTGCCGTGGTCCAAATTTTTATTTCACCTTCATTCATCACCCAGTACCAATACTAGTTTGCAACACCATTGCTATCTCACTCAGACAGTCAAAATGATAATCAATATAATACCCCACCTCCTCTCGAATTCACTTACATTTGGATTGAGATGAGAAGTCATGACTAGGTAGCCAGTATGAATATAATCAAGCAATAGTAAGGCGTCACGAATTCACATGATGGTTGGGCGAAATCTGTCTTGGTTGTTGAAGGGGAATAAAAATGTGGTCAGTAGTCGAACCTCGTAGGTCAGTTGGTAGAGCGTCGGATCGGGAACTCAATGGTCGCTGGATCGAACCCGGCCATAGTCCAAATCTTCGTTGCACCTTCAATCAACACCATTTAGTATAAATACCATATAATTGTTAACTATTCAAGCATTCTAGTATTTTTTTAAATCTGTATTCAGTCTAGGTCAAGGTTGTATTTTATGTTTTGTCGTATTTCCACCTTTGTAATCTGACAAAAGCGGATCATATGACATTAAAGGAATACACTAAAGATAAAGTTAGGAGAATAGGGGAATGAAGATATAAAGATTAGATAAACAGTATCAGATCAAGAAAGAAATAAAGCTTGTAAACAAATAGTATGACCTAAACAATTTCATGTCACTAGGAAAATAAACGGAGACAAAATTTGCAACTATTTCCAAAGATAAATGAAGGTTGTAAAAACTTCATTTAAAATTTAGTCGATCTGTAGATGTGTTAACCAGTGTTGTCAAGCGCAGCGTATTATATTCACTAAAGAAACCACTGTGAACAAAACAACATCCGAGGGAGGTTAAACCTAACGTTTGACCTCTTCAGCAACATTAATCTTAGAGTAATTTCACCATTACCACAGATAATAACATCCCTATGTTAAAGGACACTTCCACCGAATTGTTAAGTCATAATTTATTAACACCTTTAATTGATAGAGGCAATAGAGCATTTTAATGGCGGTATGTGTCCGTCCAACTTCAATCATCTTCCACTCTTTGGCCGTTATATACAAATTTTGTTGAACAAAGTACTTTGTCAGGGGTGAGATAAATCTGAAGATGATGAAACTATGAAATATAAACACAGCGTTATTAGTAAGGCGACTTAATTTATCAAAGTATCTATATAAAATGATTTCTGTTGATAAGTATTGAGATGGGACACATTGTCACAGTATCATCACACATAAATCTGCCACACTGCATAATAATCATCTGTCCCACTTCCCAATGCATTCGAAAATCAAACATTTCACATTCCTTACTCCTTACTCATCACAACTACTCGGAATGGTGTCAAAAGTCTACCTTCTATTCACATGGTATCATTTGAAAGGTTTCATCACCTCTTCTCTTCTATCCACACTTTCACTATCATAATTATTATTGTCTTTAGATAACGTTTTCATATTCTCACATTCTCCGTTCAATCAGAGTTTCATTGTTAATCATTGTGTCCAGTGTTGTCATCGTCTATTTACTCAACTACTCATAATGATTTCAACATAATTGTGTCAGTTGATGTCGATGTAGGTTGATGATTCCAGTTTACAAGTAATCACACTTCTGATGCACACATTTACTATCATGAATTCAGTCAACCTGATCACAGAAATCATGTTGGTGAGATAGGCAGTGAATCTCAGTTACTGAAATGTAGGTGTCTGAGGATTGTGGAGTAATAATTTGTATTGCATGTTGTACGAAGGAAGACTGAACATGATTGAAGTGTCTGGTTGGCTGAAGGAGAGGAGGATTGATAATTTGAAGGAATTATAACATTTTTTATCAACTAATCAATCCTAATTCATCATTGACTTCTTCTTTTTCTCGAATACCTTCATTCCGACACTGTGCGATGTGGAGATTTTATGAGGTCTAGTTGCATAGTGTGAAAGTCATCACTCGTCTAGTCAAACGTGGTCACAATATTCACTTCATGGTGTTTACAGATATGTGTTTGAATTTTGTCTGGATGCAAGCATTCATTTTAACTTATCATCACGTCCTTCGATTTGGAAGTCTGTCAAGTGAGGAATTCGAGCGACTACACTACCACTTTCTGTGTTCTCTTCATTCTGTTCGATTTCGATGTTTTCGAGATGTTGGTTATGATTGAGTGTGATGATTCTGAATGTATCGTTAGTGACTGCTGATTCGGGTGATAGCCAATCAAGTTTGTGGATGATGCAGGTGAGGTTCGTAGATAGTTGAGTAGTTTTGTTTCTAGCATAGTGAGTGGAGATGAATGTGGTCTGATAATCGAATCGAGATGCTGGTGGTTCTAATCTCACAGTGAGTGAATTCATCTTCATTTTCGATTGAATCAACCAACACATGCTTAGAGTAATATCCTGTGGTTGTCTTGATGACTGTCGTTTATGCACAAGAAAGTAGACAGATGTCTGTGTCATGAATACTTGTGACTGTGATTGGTATTTGATGACATTCAGTTTGCTGTGAATGAAGTGAAAGCAATGAGTGTTGATGATTGGTGACTGTTGGAGTGATGAGATGACGTTTATGGCTACGTGTAGAGAGATGTTGATTATTTTATTGAATGTAGACAATTAGTTGATTGGGAAGTGGTGAGGTGATTAAAATATTGAAGTGTAATCCGCTAGAAGAATGGAATCAGCAGACGTTTATCATGATGATTCGTGCTGAATGTGATGACATGTCTATGCATGTTGCTGTTGGATGGTGCTCAGAGATAATATGTTTCTGAAGACATGATTATATGAGTATGAGTGAAATCTATGTGTTTTTGTATGTAGGTTACTGCGAGTATATTAGAGAGAGTTACTCTTAGACTTCCTAAATAATTTTTCAAGAACTGCATAGGCAACGGACGGAACATCATTTCAGATAAGTGATAAATTGGTTGGCATAACTGAATACTGCAAGTTTCATATTTTGAAGGAAGTTTTGTCGTGTGATACCTGCTAGCTCTTTTTTGAGCGATATTGTTGTCGATTTTGTAAATCGGATATTCGAGGATACTTCGTGAAAAGAGTAAAGAAACATTTGAACAGAATAAGACGATAATCATTTTTGATGAATAATCTTATCATTCTACGATAATGGAAGGAACTTTTGTAAGCATTGGTTGCTTAACACACAGAACAACACGTTAATCACTCACGAATAGGAGTTAGGGCGACTTTTTTGAAGGCCACTCTCCTTTGCTTGTTTCCGGTGAAGGTGTTTTCATATTGCCAGGCGACTTTAACGGGTGTACAGGGTTAATTCAGTTGACAGTAAGGAGACTCAAAAGTTTATGCTCAGAATTTTGTTGCAGAGAGTCTTTTCCATTATGATATTATAAGTGCGTGGGAGTAGGATTCAGTGGAGCTCCATTCTTCATAGTAGTTTTGATCTCACCAGTTCATCACTTTGAGTCCCTGACTGACTCTAGCGTTCATTACCTTATAGGTTGTTCCGTTTAGATTGTAATGAAAATGAAAACCGGCGTCATTGCTTGCAATATGAAGGGCGCATGTGCTGAAAAAGCTTAGGAAGATCATAGAGGCTATGAGGGGGGGGGGGTAGGTTTTTAAGCCCGGTGTATACAATTTTTACCATTCTGTTAAGGTAGTATTGGTGTATGTCGAGTGCAGTTTCTCTTTCACGACAATTTTGTATGTTATGCTACTTTCAAATTTTTCACTAAATTTATTTTGCACTAAGATTCCACTTTTTCACGTTTCACTGAGAATTATCGACTTTCTTTTGGATTCTTCTCCTCTCTCTTCACGTTTATCTTCTTCCTTGAATTAGCTGTTAATTTAGTGTGAGCAATATACTCTAGTAATCATCAAAATAACCAATTAGGTTTTTTATTTTCAGGAAACTTCAAATCTCACCTGCATATTGTTTCAGTGCATATATCTCTACATTACTGATACCACCGCATTAAAGAAACTTTGCTGACGTCTATCAGAGCTCTTGCTAATATTACAGGTGTTCCAATGGCCTAATTTATACGAAAATCATTATATTTTGAAAAGTTGGATAAGATTCTTTGAAAAACGATCCTTTTCTCAAGGATTTATTCCTTTTTGCAGTTAGGACAGTGAAAGATGAAGCCATCTCTTTTCTCTTTGTTAGGTACACAAACCTTTATGAAACCAACTTCCTTATTAAGGCTTCTCCCAGGCATCCAACTCTCTGTAAATAACTTATAACGAAATTATGAAGATAATTCATGAAAGATGTATGCAGTGTCAATGACTTGGTAGATGGACGCAATGAATGACTTTGAACACAACATCTCTAGCCTGATTGGTCATCATCAAGGTATCCCGTCAGTGCAGTTTATTTCTGCCGTATTACCTTGTGAAATATGACTTTCCAGCTCCTACGACTAGGTTAAAAATCTCTGAAACCCTTGATGACCAATCAAAATAACTTAAAATCTCAAGAAGAGGCATGGAAATATACTTCTGGTGCCTGGCTTTTTTATTTCTGAAGAATGGGCTGGGTATTACTTATGAAATCTCAAGACTCATGCAAAAACATTCTCGTTTATGTTCCAGCCTATCGAGTCTGGGGATGATGGAGTATAACAGTGACAACTGTAAAACGAATATCAAATAATAATAATTTTAAAATCAAGATGGTTTGAGACGAAAATGATTCTGGTTTAAAGGGATTCGAATGAGTCTTTTGATCAGTAAGGCTATTCATTGCCAAGATATCAATTAACTAGCTTTATACGCTTTTCAAATTTGCAAGCTTGGTTGCACGTTTTGATGGTTACAGCCATGACAAACCTAAGTGTACTTGAATTCTTCTGCCTGTCCATAATTTCGCAGGTCTTCACTCAATTAATTTCATCAACTACGTGTTATCTTTATTAAGGGTTATAGCACCATTTTGAGAAATATGACTGTCTATACTCAGATACCTTGTTAGATGTTCAAAAACCCTGATAGATAAGCATCTCTCGATTCTACCCCAGCCCCCCTCCCCGAACTTACAAATTACAAACCACAATAAAGTAGTGATATATTTTGAGGTTAACGGGGATTATAATCTAGAGTTAGTATTCACCCCGGACTGATATTAGTAGGGAAACCATTGCAAGTCTGGGAGCACCGGACAGCTGTTTCGTCCTTGTATGGGACTCCTCAGTAGTACACACTCATAACCTGGCCAGGGGTCGAACTCAGGGCCATCAGGTTTCACGGTGAACGTGTTAACCATTCAGCTCATAGCTTGGAGTTGATTGGCCTACAGTTTTTAACTTCTGTCAATTCGTGATATAGCGGGATTATCACCCAAGGTCTTCAGTTGGTATTCGCCTCCCTTCCGGCTAGTCGACCCCCCACGTTATGGCTTCTAATTAGAACTTCGTGATACACATCTAGAAGCATGTCACTAGTTAGCACTATATGCAGATTTTAACTTTGAAGTAGAATTCTCCAACCTGTCTTTTTAAACTCTGAGTATTTTATGAGCGAAATTAGTCAGTCATTTGCAAATGGTTATAAGGTCTCTGCCCTTAGGCAGGTTTTTGTCCATTGAAGCCAACAGTTCACCCTTGATCTATGGACAGTTGCATTAAATATATTAGGGTATTTCTGATGCTAACCAGTGAATCACTTCAGGTAACTAACTAACCGCCTAATATGTTATGATTGTTAAATTCCAGATGGTTAGTTCCTGACTTTTTACGCCTGATTTCACGACAGTTATTGGTTGTTTTTGATGATAAAAACTATTGAGGGCGTAACTAAACTTATCAGCCTACCTAAGTAACTAAAAAACGACTGAAACTTATAGTGATATTTTGAAATAAGAGGGTGGTTTCTAATTACTCAAGTTGTTCAGTAGTAGTACATTTCGTTAATTCGTGATACTTCTATGTCAGCAATCATATACTATGATCTTAACTGAGTAATTCCCAGGGGAAATCCTTTAGATTGGCATCACAGTTATGCAGTTAAGAACTATTCAGCCACGAGATATTTCAAGATGGAGCACGTAATGTGTAAATCATTTACAAACTGACCATCCTATGATTATCTGTCTAAACCTTTCCTCATCTATGCCTTGCATAAAAAAACTGTATGCTTAGTTTATTAACTTACAGTGTAACATTCCAAACTGAAGATGAACCAGTTGACACCAACTCATCTCATACAAGCATAGATTTTTGGATAGCATATTGTCTTTTAGGTAAATTCATCATGGACAAGCGTCATTTGGAGAACCATTAAACTCATGAAAGCACTGGACAGCTGTTTTCCCCTAGTATAAGATTCTTCAGTAGCGCATACCCATCGCTCCACATATAAAATTGGAAATAAATCTTGTACGGTAAATACTGTTACTACTACTGTACTGTGTATAATGGCAATAATAATTCACTTTGCTAAATTCTATGCAAAGATTTCTCGACTATTTACTAAGATATGAGTGACTGAAAACAATGAATTAGGCTACCAGATTATAGAAATACCAGAAAGATAACGAGTCAGGGTTCTTTTCAGGTGGCTGATGTTTTTAACTGTCAACAGAAAATGGAAAAAAAGCTTGAACATGTAGATCTACCTTGAAATGACAATAAAGTTCATAAGTTACACAGTCTCATTGAGTAATATTTTACAAAGAAAATTCACACTAAATTCAGCTGAAATTAAGAAAAACAATTCCTTTAAGTTTTCTTATTTTTATGTTCGTGAGCTAACAGAAGTTGGAAATATAGACCATTGGATTCTGACCCAGTGGCTCAATGGTAACCCGCTGGCCGCGGAACCTGAGGGTCGTGGGTGCGCACTGCTGAGGAGTCCCATACTAGGACGAAACAGCTGTCCAGTGCTCCCAGGTTTCCTTTGTTCTTCCAACTGGTGTCAGTCTTCGATGAATAACAACTTGAAATATTTTATGTTCAGTTTGTACCCTAGATCTCAGTCAGCTTCGGTACACATGAAAGACATACTGAAAACTATGGTTTTACTTTGAAATATTGACAATAACAAAAAAATGACGCATAAAAGTACTTACCATTCATGAATAAATACAGAGAGATAAATATCGGTTATGCGTAGACAAAAGTGATGGTGAAATCACTGTCACAGTGAAGACGGTGATTTAACAGTTGGTTGGTTTTCAATGTCTGTATGCAAAATGCATTGATTTCACCGACAATTTATCAAACGGAAGTATTTGTAGGTGTTATTATTCATTTTTCTTTGGTCACAGAGTCACCACTTCAGAAGTTATGGCCTGAGTGATCATAATTCTTCAGTGAAATGATGATAACAGTCTATACTATACTCTGGATAGTACTGCTGGTGACTATAGGAGTAGGAATTGAGTAATATAGTTGCACAAAACTGCAATCGAGTTCACAATCTGTTGCTACTTTTGAACTAATTGCACACACACTGAAACCCTTCAAAGGGGGGAGGGGAGAGTTTATATTCTATGATAAATACTTTGACATAGAGTATGAATAAAAGTTCAGTTAGAAAACGTCTATTTATCACGTACAGTAAGGCTTATTCCACAAATTTTCATATGAATAAAAAAAAGGGAACGATATAAATGCTCTGAGACACTTGGACTGCATACTAGTAGTTACTGTCCTCCCTCAGAACCGCACACTTCACTGAGCTATAGAAATCAGAAGACTGTGATTGTAAGAAAGACACTTAATTCGACAAAAATACATCATTTATATACAGTTTTCATCAATATATGAAGACATTAGGTCAAAAGTAAAATACTTTATTCTGATTGGTCAACTGCAGGATAAATTGCCGAATAAGGTTTTTCTTGACCACACAGTAACGTGAAACAAAAATTGAAATCCAATACTTCTACTTTAATGCCTGATGACTTAAAATATTGGTTTTCATATAGGCCATTTCTTGTCATGTGTGAACGCTAGAAAATTATGTTCTTACTTAAAATCATCCTACATAGATGCATTGAAGAGTCGACTACAATATTATCTTTATAAAAAACAGAAACTCATAGTTTCAACTTTAATAAAATTTAGTTCCACCTTAAACAGTTCTTAAAATCAGCTACGCATGAGTAAGTCTGAAGGTATACTAGTTAGTACCCTGTTTCCTACTGTAAAAGCTATACGGAAAGATAACCTGCAAGAGGTATTCTCTTTTGTCAAAGAACGATAAAAGATTTCCTTAGTTCTACAAAGTGTTACTTTATTACTATCTAACCTTGGTAGCTAAGTCACACAACAGCCATGGCACTATAGCTCAGTGGTTTGAGGGGTTGACTTTCGAACACTGGGTTACGACTTCGAACCCCACTCCACTTACCTAGGTTTGACCACCCTCAGTAGCACGCAGCCAAGACCCCTCTAAGGATTGAACCCAGGACCTTCACGTTTCACGGTGGACGAGCTAACCACTCAATCACTAGGTTACAGTTCAGTGGCCCACAGTTTCCAACTTCGTGATAGAGTGTGACTATCGCCCAAGGTCTTCAGTTGGCATCCGCTTCAATTCATACTGGTTGACCCTGTAAGTCGCTGTTTCTCATAAGAACCTTGGGATATCCATCCCGAAGCATGTCGCTAAGTAGTTAGCACGTTTGTCTCAAAGTCTGAAAGTCCTGAGTTCGATCCCTAATAGGTTTACGGGTGCGCTCTGCCGAGGAGTCTCATACTAGGTCGAAACAACTGTCCTTTTCTCTCATGTTTTAAATGGTTCTCTATCTGTTGTCAGCCTGTGACGAATGCTACCTTAAATAATAATAACTCCTGATTTATTTGATCCCAGTCGTCAAGTAATGAAACTGAACTGCAAAATCTTAGTAAACGCTTTTCTGTCTCCTCATCCCATTGAATGAGTTAGCGTATAACTATGTATTTATGCAACAGAACTTAAATTATTCCGTTTTTACTGATAATTTACAGCAGAATAACTATCTACTTTAGATGTACATGCGTATTACTTAAGCTCATTCTCAGTTTCGCTTTTAGAACAAAGCGTAACTTGATTATTATCGGCTTTCAATGCACTAAGACACCTGAATCTCCTGAACGGTGCAGCTAAGAAATATCAGACTGTCATGAAGTGCTTATCAAGTTCTCTGAGATTTCCAACAGTTGTCCAGATGACATCGACCAGTGACGAAATTTACTCCCAAATGAATCAATAATCTTTTGGTGACTCCGTAGCTGAATGATGGACGCTACTTAGTGAAATAAATCTCAGTAGTTAGTAGTCCCATCATTAATAATAATGAAATTCACCTTGTCTTGAACACGTTTTTCATCTCATTAGTAAAAGATGCATGAAACTTTATGCAGTATGACAAAATCATTCATAATTTGCAAATCAGCTGATAAAAAATTTACACTGCAATTACATGCAGCTTAATAAATTAAACTACTTATAAAGGCATATGAGTAGATTACTTCAAATATGTGAAAATAATTTCGATGTTAGCTATCAGCAGAAAACAAAATGTTTATATATCGGCTTACCTGGAAACTGAAATTGAAAATATTACGTTGTCTAGTCAAATCCAAGCATTTGATAACTGTGATGTTGCTTGTGTTATCCAGTCCTTGATTGGAGCGAATCGATAGGTCTCTATTGGAATTTGCGCTCCTGTACGAATATCTCCATAGTACCTGTATTTTCAATTTTAATATCAATGATGGATAGTGGCTAGAAGTGGAATACAGGAAGTACGCTTTGTCCTATTTGGGATTGGTCACTTGGATGTATCTGACTCCCAGCGGACGATATTGTTTCCTCCAGAACTGGAACAAGAGACTGATTGCTTCAAACGCCAGAGCTCTATCCACTAAACCATCAAGTCACGACAGCCAGTTTTTGTGCAACGGGCCTAGTCTATATGATTTTGCTTGTGTTATCCCAAATAGGATGAATCACTCGTCTCGGGTTCCACTGTAAGCCACTACCCTTCATTAATATCAGGATCGAAAAGACCGCCATAATCAAGGCATCAGCACAAGGGTCTACATGCCAATAGTGATCAATCAGTTCGGTTCAATTATCTAGGCAGACTTACAAGCTGGAACATCAAAACCATGCCGGCTATTGTGACTCAGTGGCCCAGTGGATAACACTGTGGGGTTTTGAGTGTTTGGTCCTGGGTTCGACTCCTAGTGGGAAGAACACTCACTGGATTTTACTTCACTCAATCATCCAATGTAATGGTTGAGTGTTCGTTTGAATTCGAAAGTTGTTGATTGAATCCCTACATTAAGCACTATGTAATTTTTTGATTTTTAAGACTTATAAAAACACAATATTTTATCATATAACATGAAATATCTGCCTAACGGTTAATCTTCAGATATCCATGTATACTTTTACAGCTGGCGAATAATATTTTCCATATGAAGAGCTATTTACTGAGTAAGTTTTGTACTACAAACCCTTCTTATTATTATTACGATTATTTGTCCTTTGGGTTCTTAGTGGAACATAAGACTTCAGTAGCATGCCTCCATTTCACTTTCTTCTCTCCAGTCTTTTCAACCTGCCTCCAACACTGCCCGCAAGCTTTGATTTCTTTCCCACACAATCTCCTCCATGTCACCCTCAGATACCCGACTCGCCATTTCCCATGCGGGTTCCACTCGACGGCCTGGCCTGGCACCTGATCTTTCCAAATGGTCTTCTCAGTGTATGCCTAATTCAGTCCATCTCCACTTTCTTCTTCACATTTGTTGGGTGATGGGTTCTTGGTTGGTTGCCAGGCAGATTGAGTTCCATGTTGTTTATTCTTATTATTCTGGCCATCTGATATTCAGCATCGAGCGTAGGCAGCTGTTCATGTATATCTGCAGTTTATTGGATGTGCTTTTCGTAATACGTCAAGTCTCTCAATCGTCACATAGAAGCACTGACTGACTTGACTGACTTGGTGTTGAAAATCGGGACATTGTTCACGTTTGATGCTGAGCGCAGTAGATCTCGACACTGATTTCAGATTGATGCAGGAAGACGTGTCTTCCTGCTGTCTTTCCGATTCTGGCTGGTACCACATCGTCATCTGTGTCTGTGTTGCCTGTTATTGAAACGATGCTGTCCAGTCTGGGTAGGTGAAAGTGACTACTTCCTGAAGGTTTCTTCGTTGATGGTGATTAGTGCCTGTTGTTGTTGTTGTTGGTTGGTTGGTTGGTTGGTTGGTTGGTTGGGTATCTTCATCACTTCTGTCTTCTCCACGTTCATCTCAAGGAGGTCCCGTCTTCCTTCACTACCTCACCTCACCTCTTCTGCCAACCTCTTATTTTTGCCTGTACATCTTCGAGTCTGTGCAACATGAGACATTAGACATAGATCATCATCGGTGGTGAAATCCAAATCTTCTTCTGGGGTCTTTTCATCTGTCCAGCCAGTGTATGTCCATCTTCTCACAGCTCCTCACAGTTGTCTGTTGCATGATCTAGTCCAGTCCAGTCTACTCCACTCCACTCCACTCCGGTCCGGTCCGGTCAAGTGGAGTCGACCACAATTAGGAAGATGATTGGTGATAGTAGGTCGCAGCGTTGTCTTGCTCCTGTCTTCACTTCACTTCAAAAGGCGTTACTGAGCTTTCCATTGTGAATCATTTGGGATGTAGCATGTGGCATCATCACAGAGCATATAACTGCTGTTGAATGAGGTTGATGGGGGTTTGTGGCACCAAAAGCGTAGTGTTGAAGCAGCTGTCAAATCACCAAACTAAAGACAGTTTATGTCCAAACGGAAAAATGAACATCAGGATTGTTTTCAAGTCAGCTACACTTCAGACATCACATCCACTAGCCAGTCGTCTCGAAGTGCATGAGGCAACCAGAAGGATATCATCGAGTTAGTATTCTGTTGCATCAACTATCACAATTCACCACATAACGCTCTGTTTTATGATGATGTGTAGTGTTGGAATTTGATCCGCATACGATTTATTCTTCCTGAAGCCAGGCAGCCAGCCTGTTTCGGTCGTAATTTTGGATCCAGCGTACCTTTTAGTGTCTCCAGGATGATGGGGCTTAATATTTTGCTTGGGGTGAATGGGAACAGGAGCATGATTCCTTGCCAGTTCTTGCAGAGACTTAGGTCTCCCTTCTTTGGAAGTTTGACAAGGTAGCCCTTCTTCCAGTCGATCGGTAGGTACCTTGCCTTCCTTCCAAACCTTCTAAAGTAGTAGTAGTATAATACTGTATATTTTAACAAATAAAAAAGTAAAGAAATACTTTGCATTACTTTCACCGTTTTCATCTTGTTGGGAAGCGACGAACAATTCCCAAAAGTCAGTAGACTAAGGTTCTATGAGACTGAATATTAATGCTGATTTTTATGGTTTTAACGGACTGCTTAAGCTGAAGGCACATGGTCAAGCATGCACACCATTTGGCAAATTGTTATGTTACTTTACGCTGCTCAAACATGATCCTCTAGCCAGTTAGTCGAAGTGGTTAGGTAATTTGGCATAGTTTCACAAATATACTATTCCTACCTGGTTAACCTACTGTTTTCATTTTCTGGTCTCTCACTCATGGTTACCTTAAGGGTACCAAGAATTAGTGATTGGCCTCTGTACCTAACAGCTCCACACAAAAACAATTCTTAAGACCTTTTCAATACTTTGAATGAGACATTAAGTTTTAAGTAGACATCCGAAACAATCACAATGTCATATTCTGCACTCACAATTGTTCAAATCAGAAGATCCTATTCGTTATCTAGAACAACAGATTCGTGAATATAAGGTATACAGTGGTGAATGTGATGCTACATACATTGAAGAGACATCAAGTCGATTACTAACTTGCCTAACCGAACATAATTGAAGGCTTCAAAGGATCTAAAAATACGGCCCTGATGGCTCTCATGGTCTAAGGGCTGTTTTGGGGTCAGTCCTCTGAACTGTTTCTATAGTGTGTTTACCAATAGACGATAATGTCTGTCTTGTACATAGCGAACCATTTTTTTTAACCACTTAGAGATAAGCTACACCACCCTCGACTTCATAGTTCGATTACTCCTTCCAATGTATGTATCACCACATACACATAAAAATTGGTATACCCATTTGGATGTGAGGTAATGATCTGTGTAGTGATGACGTTTATTCTGAAGCATAAGTTTCGTTTTCTCTACAACAGTTAGCTTGGCTTCATAGTATGTCTTGATGATAACTGAATTAAGCCTTCGTCTGAAGATCAAACTGTTTGATTCTTCCTTATACAGTAGCATGACGTAAAGGCCCTTCTTCGGGACAGAATACTGATTAGTTCACACCGTTGAGACGTTTTTATAACGGTTGATAAACTTTAGAGGATATGCGTTTTCCATGAACTCTTCTTCCAATGTATATTTTGTGCAGATAAGTTTGGCCCGTTTCAATAATCAGTTTACTAAACCTCGTTTGTACTGTATTGAACCGAAACTAGGAAAGTTAGGGTACTGTCCGGTTCACGTAAGTTTTCTTTGCATTGATCTTTTTATCGACCCATTTCCCTTTCTAGTCAAGAACAGGAAGCTGATTATTATTTTCTGCTTCACACGATAAACTAATGTAACTTCGTACCGTGTTAAGCCGATTTAGAAGACTTTTCATATCCTCGCGTTTGTTACACCAACGTATCTCCTATACAGAGGGACCTTACTAATAATATCCTCAGCCAAAAGTTCTACAAGTGACCTGTAGACATCAGTTAACAGTGATCCTGTAGGACTACCCATAGCTACACCATCAACTTGTCAAAAATGTTCATCTTCGAAAGTGAAGTGAACCTTATCGGCACCTTTAAACCACTGGATAGGAGGTGTCAAGACCGTATACTTAGGTTCATTGAAGCCTTAGTTATATGAAAGTTCAAATCCCTTTTGTGTATTCAAAAACACTTTGTCCTTACCCCTTAAACCTACTTTGATAATCTCTATTTCAATTTTATGCCAAGGGAGGTGTGAATATGTATTATTCCTTTTTATTATTCCCATATTTTCCAAATCCTGTATTATCTTTATTTATTTACCCCACCCTATATTCCTTTTTTGTATATAAAATGCCTTGACATGTGAATGTATAGGGGGATCAGATTGTTTGAAATGTGCGAATACATCATATTTCTCACATAACCTCCGTCTTTTTATTATACTATGCAAATTCATCAATGGGAAAATGATTTGTTGAACTTCATGTTAGGATTGTCAGGTTTAATTAGTAGATGATATAATCTCCTTGGGTGAAATGTTCAGCCAACACGAAAGACTGTATCAAACTGAAAAAAGTCTATTACATAAAGTTGCTGCATTCTATTATGCACACGATGTTCTGATTATATTACTTGAACTGTTACTTCCTGAATCATGATGATCCCTCGCTAAGTCAATGAATATACATAGTGATCTCAGTGACCTGTTGGTAGGAGGTGGTGTTTTGGAAAGTTGTATCTTTATAAACTGGCTAAAAGGTGTTATTTAACGATATCCTACGATAATCTGTATTAAGCTTAACCTATCGACCAAGTTGTATAATACGACCATTAAACGAAGCTAAAATAAAGAGTAAAGGATGACTGAAACTACCTTCGAATATAAGTACAGTTACAGTGAAGTGCCTAACGATGAGGAAGTGGTCCTAAGAAAAATAACTGGTGTCCATAATGTTGTAAAATGTATCAATGAATTTATTGCCTTCTGTAGGCTACTGCATAATCATGATCAACACAAACATCAATTAGGAGACAGGCACCTGTATCCTATAAGTTGCATATTTCAGTTACCAGTTACACCCAGAACTGACAACAAAGTGTCTATCAGAAAGTTGGTCGCAGTAGAATCCTCGAAGCATATCTCGTTCTGAAGTTAGACTCATCATCGCAGACAACATTGATGTTTCCAATATGTGATTAGAATGCAGTGATCTCCATCTTAGATTCCGCTTTTAATAGTTACTAAGTATCTAATATATGCACCAATGGAACCAATACTGTGGCATCCCCATAAGAACCTTTAAGAACCTTTCTTATGGGGACTGAGCATAGGTTTTTTACGTTCCATACCTATTTAAAATATACTTTGCATTAACAGTTCAAAGCCAAATATAAATATCATTTCCAATCGGAGGTTTCTGGGGACTTACTTAATTGACCTCAAGTAAGTATTCATCATGGAGTGATATCAGTTTGAATTGGTAGAGGTAGTAAAATTAGACCATTGGATTCTGACCCAATGACTCAAGGATAATTTGCTGGCCATGGGAAGTGAACCTCCTGGATTCAATCCTTGGTGGATAGGGTCGCCGGGGGGGCGCATTGCTGAGGAGTCATATAATAGGACAAAACATGATGAATACTAACTTAACAAGTATTATTTATAAATCAATTTATTCAATGATAACTTTCAGTTATCTTTTATCAATAATTCATTGAGCATATTACTGATTTTTAAGGTAGTAATTATAATAGTTTGTACAGTCCATATAGCCAGCCAATCAGACTATAGAATTCGTGACTTTTGAGTTCAATGACATGACATAAATGTCATTAATATGTCTGAAATTATCACACATGACCTTGACACATAGTATCATGTGAAACTGATTTGAGATTAAATAAATGATTGAATTTATAAATCATAATGGAATTTTATATTACATTTTGTGAACAATACATCTCAATGGTGAATCTCTTCATTTCTCAAATATACTCATAAATATGCAGTTGACTACTACTCCATTTATACCAATTAGAATGAATACAACATTACTGAAATTATATTCATGTGAAACTCAAGGTGTTATTCTATTTTCAGTATGCTGTGGACTATTCTTTTTTGGTATAATATTAATTGGTGTAATTACATTGAGTCAACGGAGGCAAAAGAAAAATGATTTAGATGAAGAAAATCTTCAAAAATTGTTACGTTTTAAAAGTACAATGTGGATATCTAAATATGTTGAAGCTATACTGACAGGAAAAATATTTTTGGACGATTATTGGTAAATTTTATTATAGATAAAATTTTTGTAATCATTTCCATTGTCGGTAATCAACAGTAGATCGCTATCTTGTCAAACTGATAGATGCTTATTTCTCGAATTATTGATAGTCTGAATGATTCTTAATCTTAAGGAAGATTTCGTAAGAATTTCTTGTGAAAATATTCTTAAGATCACTAGCCTAATAGTGTAGAAAGCCGTAAGTGTAAAACCTCAAGCATGGAGAGTACCTTGGTTGTCACATATATAACTAGCGCTATTACTGCTACTATCTAACAGTATAAGAAGTATTTTGACTTGAATGAGATTATGTAGTGGATAACACTGTGGTACTTGAAGCAGTCGGTCTCAGATTCGAGTCTCAGTTGGAACAAAATTGCTTATTGGGACCAAGGTACATCCAGCTGACGAGCCCAAAATAGGACTGAACCTATGTCTTATATCCCCCTGTTATCATTATTTTAAGCGAGATTGGCTGAGAATTTTTAAATAGAAATGCATACAATATATTTCACTAGTGATCACAAATGATTTATCACTCATGACAGAATGGAGAATGAAGTGGTAACGTTTTGTGTAAGCATCTCAACTGCTGATTTGTTCTTATATTAATGAAAGCGTTACTAGCAAACGAAATTCAATCAATTGTCACCTCCTTATCATCTATACTTATGAATAGAGAACATTTTCTATTCCTTGTGATATCAAAAATAACAGCTATATTTCATACTTAGCACTGTTTCAACTACAGGCAGCACAGACGAAGACGTCACAGCGAGGATCGGAAAAGCAAGACAGGCGTTCATTAATCTGAAATCAGTGTAGAGATTTTCTGCACTCAGCACAAAGCGTGAACAGGACCCGGATTTTCAACACCAACGTCAAGTCAGTGCTCCTATATGGCTCAGAGACTTGGAGCGTTACGAAAGGGATTTCCAACAAACTACAGACATTCATCAACAACTGCAACCTACGCTGGCTCGTTACTCAAACTCAGATGGATTGCCAGAATAATCAGAATAAGCAACAAGGAACTCTGGCTGGCTGGCGACGAACCAGCCAAGAACCTATCACCCAGCTAATATGCAGAAGTGAAGAAGTGGAGATGGATTGGGCATGCACTGAGAAGGCCAACTGGAGACATCACGCGTCAGGCCAGGCCCTCGAGTGGAACCCAGATGGGAAACGATGAGTCGGGCTTCCGAGGTGAGGGCGAGATGGAGGAGATGGTGTGAGGAAGAAATGAGAGGTTGTGGGCTGTCGTGGAGCGAGATTGAAAAGATTGCAGAGAAGGGAGTGGAATAGAGACGTGCTACTGAAGTCCTATGTTCCATTAGGAACCTAAGTGACAAATAATATAATAATATACATCAGTTGAAGCGCGGTTATACGGTTCTGTGATCTATAGTTCTCCTTTTCGAAGAATTCCTAAAGTAATGTGTTCATCCTTTATTACAACTAACAAGAACTATTTCACACGTTACACAAATGAAAACTGAAAAATTGACCACAACCTAATAAATAATCTATTCATACTGTGTAATGATTGAACATGGAATGAAATTTTGGACCGCGGCCGGAATCGAACCAGTGACCATAGAGTTTTCGACCCCATGCTCTACCAACTGAGCTGCGACACCCAACTGATGACCATATTTTTACTTCTCTTCGATCATCAAGGGTACTGCTGGACTACCATGTGAATTCGTGATGCGTTACTGCCGCTTCATCGTATTCACACTGTCTACTTAGTCAGCACTTCTTATTCCAATCGAAATCTACATGAAGTGGAGAAGCGGAGCATTATATTGATTACCATTTTGACTATGTGAGATAGTTATGGTTTGGCAGACTAGTACTGGTAGTGGGTGATGATTGAACCACAGGCAGATTCGAACGAGCAACCACTGGGTTTCTGGTCGGATGCTCTACCAACTGAACTATGAGGTTCAACTGCTGACCAGATTTTCATTTCACTTTCAGTCATCACCTAGTATGAATACCAGTCTGCCAAACCAAAACTATCTCAAATATTCAAAATGAACAAAAATAATCTATTTGATGGACTTAGGTGCTTGCAAAATTATTTTCGAAGTGGAAGGGCTGGACCCTAAGAGTCATACGCTGGTTTATATTGTGGTGTCGTGATATAGACGTGATGATTTTAAAACTTTAACAAGTTTCAAATGTCAATTCGCGAGTGATTTACAAATCTTATGGTCCACGTTGATATCTCTTACAGCTTAGTAGTTTACCAACTGACCAACTGTAGTGTCAACAAGGTTTCCGCTGGAGACCACTTAGCCAAGATCATAAGGTGTAATCTTCGACTGTAAGAGATGAATTTATCCGGGCACACTGCTAATAAGCTTGACCATAAACAAGCGAAACGGCAGTACATTGTCTAGATTAATTTGACCTGGCCAGAGAAATCTATAGATCAGTCTGAATGGTTTCTAACTAATCAAAGTGTTCAGTGATAGTAACTTGAAATGTCAATCTAGGCATCGTGAATAGTAGTAGCGATCTTTCTGTTTCTCTTTGTGGTGACATTGAAGTAAACAATTCTTTCTAGTAATAACCGCTTTTTTCAGTCTCAGATAGCCTTTATTAATAGATTAAAGGAAGTCAGTGTTGGTTGAGACATAAGTCATACAAATACGGATTGATTCCTATTGAGTTACGGATACAAGTGTTAAGTCCATAATTCTCAGTGCTTATAGTATTCTACCGACCAAGTTGTGCAATGTGGTCACTGAGTGAAGTAATGCATCATTGCAGTACACTGTATTCTGATGTTAGATGTTGGAAGTCAGTTGGCATGAAACCCTGCTCCACTTGGGTTTCTTGTTTTTCAGCTCTCATCAACAAGGCGTAACTGAAATCCTGAGGATGCTGGTGTCGTTCACTGATTCAAACCTACCCTACGCGCGCGAATCGGCTATCACTAGGCAACTGATGTAATTGGCTAGTGAGTTCTCATTGCTGAGCACTGAACAATTTTTAGATTTTAAGTTGTAAATTTATTGATTTTAAATCAGCTGAGCACATAATCCTGATCCAAGTGTAGGTCTTAAAAAATAGCAGTCATTATTTGGTATCTGTTGAAGAAACTATCTATCGACATAAACACTGAAAGGGATTGAGTATTTTTGTATGAATGGTTTACTTGTTGCCAGTTGATGATGTCAACATTCTATTCAGATGATTACAGTGAATCTTCTTTATATTGAGAGTAGCCTGCCAAATATTTTATTATTACTATTGTCATTATTATCATTACTATTCTAGAAGTAGTATTCATCATGGACTGATATAAGTTGGGAAACCATTGAGAATCTGGGAACACTGAACAGCTGTTTCGTCCTAGTAGGTGACTCCTCAGCACTACGCACCCACAACCCGCCTAGGGATCGAACTCAGGACCTTCAGGTTTCACGGTGAACGCGTTAACCATTCACCCACTGGTGTCCGCTTCACTTCCCATTCATTTCAAAAATACATTACTTTATAGTGCTCATTAGTGACTTGCTTCCCAGATTGATATCACGAAGCTCCAATGGGAAGTCATGACCTGTGGGGTCAACCAGTCAGAAGTGAAGTGGATGCTAACTGAAGACTTTGGATGATAGTCACGCTATATTGTGAATTGACACAAGTTGGAAATTGTGAACCATTGGAAACCGATCCAGTGGCTCAATGGTTAACTCGTTCACCGTGAAACCTTAAGGTGTTGAGTTTGATCCCTAATCGGGTTGTGGGTGCGTAGTGCTGAGGAGTCGCCTACTAGGACGAAACAGCTGTCCAGTGTTCCTAGATTCTCAATGGTTCTCCAACTGGTATTAATTAGTCCATGATGAATACTATTTCTAAATTAAAACCCGTATTCGTCTCAAAAATTTATTATTATTATTATGAGTGAACTGTCTATTCTTTTATTTTCCACTTCTAATCTTTCTCATTTCAGTTACTTTTAAGAACCTTATCATCTCTTGTCTGTATGACAATATATCTTTGGAATATATATAGGTAAGTTTTGTTTTGTTTAAGTAAACCGTTTGTAATGGCGGTTTATACATTATTTTTTTACAGATCGGATCATAATTTCTGTATCCCGTTCAATAAACAGACAATATTTTATGTAGAAATGAGCTGTAATTCAGTCTTTCTACTTATATTCATATTAAGAGTAATGTTTACATTTTGTTCATAATTTATCTTGATGTTTAATTATAAAAACAATACTTACTTATTTCTAGACTATTGCATCAAATGATTTATTTACAACTTGGATATCAATTGACTGTTTAGTTGATCATTGCACAATATTGATCAATTTTTCGACATTTATAACAGGAAGTTATCAGTTTAGTAAGCTGATCTACTTTTTCTTTTAGTCTTCTTATTAATTTCATGATAAGTTGAAGATATACATGTATCACTTGATTATTTCTTTTAGTTTATTTTGATGTTCTAGCTGGGAATCGACTAGTTAGCAGACAGCTCTTCTAAAACAAAAAAGTGTTGTTTATTGATACTTGTAATTTTCTGGGGGAATTGTGGAGATTTGAAAATATTTCAAGTTGTTATTCATCGTACACTGACATCAACTGGAGGAACAAAGGAAACCGAAGAGCACTGGACAGCTGTTCCGTCCGACTGGTATGGGACTCCTCAGAAGTGTGCAACCATGACCAGGGATCGAACCCACGACCTTCAGGTTCCGCGGCCAGCGCGTTACCATTTAACCACTGGGTCAGAATCCAATGGTCCATATTTCCAACTTCTTTTAGCTCACGATATAGCGCGGTTGCGGGTTCGATCCCTGTCGGGGTCATGGGTGCACACTGCTAAGAAGTACCATACTAGGACGAAACAGCTGTCCAGTACTCCCAGGTTTCCTTTGTTCCTCCAGCTGATGTGAGTCTACGATGAATCACAACTTGTAATTTTCTGTTGGTTTTACTGGGTCGGATTGCTCAACGTATGTTGGCAGTTCGACTCCTTTACAGATGCGTTGATACTGCGGGTTACTAATTATATTGTGGCGGTTTAACTACCTAAGATACTGGGTGATGACTGAATACAAGACTATCTGAAATGGTCAAAATGATAATCAGTATGGTGCTCTCCCTTGTCTCTAATTCAGTTACATTTGGATTGGAATGAGAAATCCTGACTGGGCAACGAGTGTGAATACGATCAAGCGGTAATAGCTCATCCCGAGTTGGCATGATAGTAGGGCAATATCCTTGATTACTTAAATGAAGTAAAAATGTGGTCATCAGTCAGGTCTCGTAGCTCAGTTGGTAGAGTATGGGGCCGGAAACCCAATGGTAGCTGGATCGAATCCGGCCACGGTCCAAATTTTCATTTCATCTTTAATCATCACCCAGTATCAATTATATTGTAGTCTACTTGACGGCTAGAAGTGGAATCCAGGACGTGTGTTTCGTCCTTTTTGGTAGCCACCAGTAAGCTGAATTCACTTGCTCCCCACATCATCTCTTGTGCAACGAGTACCACTTGTTGTTTAATGATAGCCTGGGATAGCCTGTCTCTATAATGGGTCAATGGAAACAACATCACTCACTGAAGTGCAGGTACATCCAGCTGTTAAGACTAGAAAACACTCGTCCTGGATACCACTGCTAACCACCAAGTAGACTACAATGGGTTATTAATTAAATTGTTGGAAAAATGTAAACAACTATTATCCAGTGGGTATTAGTTCTGTTTGGAAATGATTTTGTGATAACATTAGTACAATCTAGGCTACTCATAGACCTACTTGTTGAATATGTAACGTAAAACAATGAAGCCTTAAAGTTTCAACCAATGGAAAGTGTCATGAATGTATCTGGTGTATTTTAGTCAAAGGTCAAAATGGATCTGTTCTCAGAAAGAAGGATCATATTTTCATAAAAACCAATTATGTTCTTCTGATTAATAAACAATGATGGTATATTAAGCTTCATTTATATGATTACTTTTAGCATTTTCAATTGTTCTCCCCCTTTCTTTCCATTGTAGCATTTGGATTTTTATATTTTGCTAGACTTACAAAGATTCCTGAATCATTAGTGTTACTAAGAATTATAAATCAAGAGCGTTCCATACGTTCAGTGAATTTAATATTTAAACTACTGGCTGCATGGACTGTTATATCTGGTGTTGTACTTATTGTGAGTTACTGATTACTTTTTTAAATTATACCAAATAAATAATCATAATTAACATTCGGGCAATATCGAAGCATGCGCATAGGAGCCTATATGCCAATAGAGGTCGAACAATTCAATCCGATGAAACAACGGAGAATTACAATCATATCAATAAATTATTATTATTATTATTAGTCCCTTGGGTTCCTAGTGGAACATAGGACTTCAGTAGCACGTCTCCATTCCACTTTGTTAGCTGCAATCTTTTCAACCTGGCTCCACAACAGCTCAGAAGCTCTCATTTCCTCTTCACACGATCTCCTCCATGTCACCCTCCGACGTCCAACTCGTCACTTCCCATGGGGATTCCACTCGAGGGCCTGGCCTGACCCGTGATGTCCCCAGTCGGCCTTCTCAGTGTATGCCCAGTCCATCTACACTTCCTTCCACTACATATTTGTTGAGCGATAGGTTCTTGGTTGGTTCGTTCCCAGAGCTCCTTGTTGCTTATTCTTTCTGGCCATCTGATCTTCAGTCTCGAGTCAGCATAAGCAGTTGTTGATGAATGTCTGTAGTTTATTGGAAATCCCTTTCGCAACGCGCCAAGTCTCTGAACCATACAGAAGCACTGACTTGACGTTGGTGTTGAAAATCCGGATATTGTTCACACTGTATGCTGAGTGCAGAAGATCTCCACACTGGTTTCAGGCTAATGAAGGCCTATCTTGCTTTTCCAATTCTGACTTTGACATCCTCGTTTGTGCCGCCGCCTGTAGTTGAAACAGTGCTTCCTAGATAGGTGTAGGTGAAGGAGGTTACTTCCTTTAAGTTTCTCCAATTGATGGTGATTGGAGTTTTTTGTTGTTGTTGGCGGTGCTGGTTGGGTATCTTCATCACTTCTGTCTTCTCTATATTCACCTGAAGTCCCGTCTTCGCTGCCCTGCCTCTTCTGACAACCTGTTAGTTTTCGCCTGTAGATCTTCAAGTTTGTGTGACATCAGACACAAGTCATCATCCGCGAAATATATCAATAAATAGTGATAAATAATACCCGTTGTACAAGAAGTGGTTACCGTTCCTCAGTGGCCTAATGGACAACACCTTGGTGGTTGAAGCAATGGATACCAGGTCCGAGTTTTAGTGGGAACAACAGCACTCACTGGAGTGCAGGTACATACAGCTGACAAGCCCCGAATAGGACGAAACGCGTATCCTGGATTCCTCTACTAGTAACAACCAACCAAATTACCATAATTATGCTGATTGTTTCTCGACTGATAATATTGGAAATTAAACCGTGGAGAACAGGAAACTTTGATTGGAAGAATGTTTCGGAATGTTAGGATTTTAGGCAACTTTTTTCTTCCATTTGAAAGAAATCTATATTTCTGTGATATTCATATTCTTCTAAGAACATTGTTGCTCAATGGTTCAGGATATTATTACTCTTTGTTAGTCAGTATAGTTCTTCATATACAAGTATTGGTAGAATTCTATCGATCAGCTGGCTGTTTATACCAGTTCGTATGTTAATTTCTTAGTATAAGTCTTAAGTAGGGTTAATTTTCCTCCTTTACTCTATAGCTTGAACATGTGGGCGATTTTTGGATCACTAACAACAGTTACAGACAGCTTTATTACTTGGACTGTTTGTACATGATTCTTGTAACCCTGGCTACAGTCGGTTATGGAGATGTTGTATGCACAAGTTACTTGGGACGAATTTTCATTATATTCGTTATTATTGGAGCACTTGTAAGTATACGGATATCTTTAATTAATACCCTAGTCAATATATAAATATAATCAGATTTCATTTTGGGGGTTCGTGGGGATTTACTAGTTCCAAGTTGGTAATCATTAAGGACTGACATCAGTTGCAGAAACATTGAAGACCTGGGTTCACTAGACAGCTATTTCATCTCGGTATGGGACTCATCATCAGTTCACACCTATCAATCCGCCTTGCTAGGAATCTAACCCAAGACCTTCAGGTTTCGAGGTCAGCACGGGTTGGGATCCAATGGTCTTTATTTTCAACTCCTGTCAACTTACAACATAGAGAGATGATCACCCCAATATCATCGTTGAGTGTTTATCCTCAGGACCACCAGGTTTACCCCAAAGGTTACAACTCACTTTTATTTATTTTTGTTTTATTACTTTAATCTTACTGTGGGGTCAACCAGTCGGAAATGAAGTGGATGCTAACTGAAGACTTTGGATGATAGTCACGCTATATTGTGAATTGACACAAGTTGGAAATTGTGAACCATTGGAAACCGACTCAGTGGCTCAATGGTTAACTCGTTCACCGTGAAACCTGAAGGTGTTGAGTTTGATCCCTAATCGGGTTGTGGGTGCATAGTGCTGAGGAGTCGCCTACTAGGACGAAACAGCTGATTAGTGTTCCTAGATTCTCAATGGTTCCCCAACTGATGTCAGTCCACGGTGAATACTATTTCTATGCTATTATATATTATTAACAAGACATTAGTAGAAGGAGAGATTAAACGTACTTCTTTTGCACAAAGGGATCGCGCTTGAAGAATGTTACTAGTAATTGGTTTTGCTTCCTCTTATCGATAGCTATGCAGATATACTTTTAGGAAGTACGATCTTTGAGTGGTCAACATAACCAGAACCATAGGTGCAAGTGAACTTGTAGACATACACTGAGATAACTAAACACATTAACTAGTCTTTAGAACACTTGAGAATTTTATTTGCTAATAGAAAAACTGATGCACAGTTCAGCAGTAAAGAATATTGTTTACAATCATCTGGACAATCACTTCTTCAGGATATCAGCTGCATATCACCCATGAAATCATCATTCTTATGAGAAACACGCACACACACACACACACAGAGTATAAAAGTGGAATTTAACTCCGGAATCAAAAAGGAGTCAGGAGGGCTTAAGAACTATAAACTTTAAAGCTTAAGAAGTGAACAATGAATAGCAAAACTCTTTTTGGATAAACACTTCCGCTTTCCAGTGGGATCAGCCAAGCCAAACATGAGAACAGTTACTCAATGACGACATTGGATGTAGGTTACGTTATATCGTGAAATGACAGAAGTTGGAAATATGGACCATTGGATTCTCACCCAGTGGTTCAATGGTAAAGTGCTAGCCACGGAACCTGAAGGTCCTGAACTCGGTCCCTTGTGAGGCGGGTTGATGGGTGCGCACGGCTGAGGAGTCCCAAACTAAGGTGAAATAGCTGTCTAGTGCTCCTAGGTTTTCAGTGTTTCTTCAACTGATGAATATCAACCTGAAACCAATTGATAAATCTAAGCGAATTCTCAGATAAAATCCTAGTTTATATTTTTCTATTGTTGAAACCTCATTTACCAACGTGATTTCATTCAGTTCATCTTCATATTTGGAAGATTAGCACTTTCTGAGATCAATGCCTTTCACCAATAGACATTCGAGAAGATTTGAAGATAAAAGTCTAGACCAGAAAATCGCTCATCAGTCTAACATTTAACTAGCAAAGAAGAAAGTGCTTTTAACTTCAGAATTCAATAAAGTATATAGTAGATGAATTCCTAGAAGTCAGACTAACGAAAGCTGTCAAAACAGCATCCTTTTCAGTCACTCAATAATCATCTATACTAGTTCATTAATATTTAATGTAGTTTGGAAGAACAAAAACTGCCAATTCTGCCCACTTTTATTCGAATATAAAGATGCTCACCTGGTTCTATGGTACTAAATCAATAGGTCATAGACAGATAAAGATTGTTTAAGGTTGAAAGCAACTCCATTCAGCGTAGCTCAGTTGATTGAATACAAATTGATGAATAGCTCGATTTCATATTAACTAGTTAGGAGTAGTTACTCAATTCTGAGAGATTCGTTTACTCTGATCGAAAAAAAAATACAAATTGATGTTATATACCTCAAGGTGACGTGCTGCAGAACCCAGAACGTGGGTTTCTCCCATTCAGGACAAGTGAACCTTATCTATTATTATAAATGCAAAGCTTGGGCACTCTGGTAGAATGTAATTCCATATTGGATTCATTTATTTGATTTATAATACACAATGTGATACAGTATTATTTACTTGATGACAATATTTTAGCATAAATTACTACCACTCATAGTCATATCAATGTAATCACACACATTTCTTTCTACTTCTGCTTTTTATAGTCTTATCACCCAACTCATATTCTCTGTTTCTAGTGACAGTGAAATTTTCCATATCTCTGGTATAGGTGTTGCATCATTCCCACTACGTGTGTTGGGTGTTAGTCGATTCGATGAACAAAGATTCAGCAATCTCTCTTTGTCCACATACTTATATTTCATTTAAGTACAGTGATTTTATCCCACACACCCTATTGTGTAATTGTGTGTTAATACATGCATTGCAATAGTCGAGTGCGTTTTTCGAGATTAATAAGTCCAACGGTGTCTATTATTCTAGATTGGCTTAATTCCTATAATCGATAATCTATAATCTAACTGACCCTGACTATCTAGTTTGACCTATGTACTTAACCCCCAACATATGAACTAGCAAACTACTTAGCATCAACATTGTGTCCCTTCAAGAACCGTTCAGATTCCATTCCAGACTAGTAAACTCTTACGAATTAAAACTAAGGCCTTATGACCTACATATAGAAGACGATGAAAAAGTGGTTAGTTTCCATGTAACAAGTCTTTACACTAAAATTCCAATCAATATGACATTGCAGACAGTCATAAATAAACCAAATATTGTCTCAGAACTTACTCACAGAACTAAGATAACGGTTGATGAAATCATATTAGGCATAAAGTTATGCCTGACCTCCACAGTCTTCAAGTTTCAGAACAAAATATACAGACAAACAGAAGGAATAGCAATGGGATCGCCAATATCCCCAAATCCTAGAAGATATATTTATGGATATTTGGGAAAACATGACGTTACAAGTGTTTAGTCCTGTACCTAAGATATGTTGGCGATATGTGGATGACACATTCACCACTGTCTTGAAATCGGAACATATCGACAATTTCTTCATGCATATAAACTCAGTAGTAGGCGCAATCCAATCCACTTATGAGGTAGAAAATGAATGAGGAGAATCGCCTATGTTGGACTGCAGGATAAAATGAAGGACAGATGGTGGTTTGGATACTACCGTCTACAGAGGACCGACACATTCGAACAGGTATTGAGATCTCAAGTCACCTCATCCAATGTTGGTTAAGGCAAGTTTAGTCAAATGTCTAAATGATAGAGCTACAAAACTGACTAGTCAGTGCAAAAACCTAAACAAGGAACTGAAGCACACAAAAGAAGCACTAATAGTTAATAATTATTCTCTACAGTTTATTAAGAGATTCATACGAACACATATGAAACGAAATAATGACATTAATGCGAATATGAATAATGAGGGTGACACGAGTAGAAAGGAATGAGTTCACAGCCTCGATTGTGTTACCCTATAAGGAAGGTACATCAGAAACTTTACGTGGGAATCGTGAACAAAGCTGTAATTAGGGTGACATTGAAACCTATCTACAAACTCACTCAGAGATGTTTTGTCAGCTGGCTTAAGGATCCGATGGAACCAATTCAGCAAAATAATCTAATTTATCAAATTCTATGTAATGACTATGAGGTTAAGTACATAGGTCAAACTAGATATTCAGGGTCAGTTAGATTATAGATTATCGATTATAGGAATTAAGCCAATCTAGAATAATAGACACCGTTGGACTTATTAATCTCGAAAAACGCACTCGACTATTGCAATGCATGTATTAACACACAATTACACAATAGGGTGTGTGGGATAAAATCACTGTACTTAAATGAAATATAAGTATGTGGACAAAGAGAGATTGCTGAATCTTTGTTCATCGAATCGACTAACACCCAACACACGTAGTGGGAATGATGCAACACCTATACCAGAGATATGGAAAATTTCACTGTCACTAGAAACAGAGAATATGAGTTGGGTGATAAGACTATAAAAAGCAGAAGTAGAAAGAAATGTGTGTGATTACATTGATATGACTATGAGTGGTAGTAATTTATGCTAAAATATTGTCATCAAGTAAATAATACTGTATCACATTGTGTATTATAAATCAAATAAACGAATCGAATATGAGCTGTGTGTAACTGAATCTCAGTCAATGACGGTGTTTCCACTCAGACTCGAAACTATGAATCATCTCTTCAGATCTCGCAGTTTTATCCACTAGGATTCTGAGTCACAACAGCCACCTGTTTCCGAACTAGTGTGATTTTCATGTGTCAACAGAAACCGATCCATTCAATCAAATATGATGATAAACAATGGGAAATTACAAAAATCAGTAAATAAATAAAAAAATTTGGCTATCATGGTGAATTTATAAATCCCGACGAACCTCCAAATTGAACTAATCTAGAGCTCATTGCTGACTAGCTTCGAGAGGTGATTCGTGAAGTACCACTGAGAAGTCGTGACCAGTTGTGCCAACCAAGTGAAAGATCAGGACAGTTACTCAACGATGGTATTAAATGGTGGTCTTACTATATCGTGAACTGATATAAGTAGGAAATATGGACCTGGCTTAAGGGTAACACACTGGCCTTTGAACCTGAAAGCCTCAGGATCGACCCTTGGTGGGGTCAGGGGTGCGCACTTCTGTGGGTTCCCATATCAAAACGAAACAGTTGTCCACTACTCCTAGTTTTCTAATGTTTCTCCAAGTGATATCAGTCCTTAATGAATGCCAACCC